TTCATTGGAATTGGGATTTGTATGTTAAAACTTAGATTTTGCCAAAGAAAAAAAGTTTGAGGGCATGCTCATGCTCCAACACATTTAAAAAAACAGGTACATTGTTACATAGCACATTTCTCATAATCATATAACACATTGTTCTATACCAGATTCCCTCAGTGTGACAAAAGCCTTTCTTACTCCTTAAAAAGATATAACTGCTCCCACTTTGCTAACCATCCAGTTCACACATCAGCGCAGAGCAGAATTACACTGAACTTCAATAGAGGAGAAACCTCATGCCTCCTGCTGTATTATTTGATCTGGTCACACATGTTTTTCAACCGGAATTAATCTAAAATGGACACTGTGACGCATTTCAAAATGACATTACTTTTAATGCTGTGATAGGCTAATACTGCCACTGTTAATCTGCAAGTGAACTCAAACCTTAAAACATTTAACTGTTTTAAAATAACTGCTCTGCCAAGAGGATTCTGTTCTAATTGATATACCATGTTTTCTACCTGTCTCAAATCATTATTGTTAATTCAAACAACTTTTCAGACAGCAAATTAACTTTTTGTGATTATTTACACTAATATACAGTACATATACATATATACATACATACATATATATATATATATGTATGTATATAACATTTGTTTTGCCTTTTTGCTAAAATGCACAAAATACCAAGCAGTCAACCTCACTACTAAGCCCTCACTAGAGCTGTTCCTAATATATTTAATTCTCTGCTGAGAGTGCTCAGGGATAAATCCTCATGTATAATCAATAATCAATTATATTTTTATCACAATTTATGAGGCGTAATATCTTTCCACTAAACTATATGAACACTGGCAGAGAGCTGGGGGGAACAGTTGCTATGTTAGTTATCATGCATCAGTCATTATTCCAGTATAGGAATTTGGACCGGGTTGAGGAATGCTCAGGAGAACAGATAAGCAAACTCCTTGTGGTGGTGGCTCATCCGCTCTACTCAGAAATAGAGGCAACATTAGAAGCGCCAATTGGCTGATGAAAGTCTTCTGTGTATGGTAATGATGGCACTAGATTGCTAATTGCTTGCTCAAGTAAGCCCAAAACACACTGGAGAAAATGTCCGAGAGTGTTAAAAGCAGGAAAGCAGCACCAATCACCCATCTGGGCCCGTCTATGGAGACTCATACCAGACCTACACTAAACTTTGATTTCTGATGTGAATATTAGATGTGTGTAGGAGTTATGGACATGGAGGCCAAGATTCAAGAGCTTTATTGTCACACACAAAGCACCACAGAGCAGTAGTGATGAGCTCTAGACCAGTTAAAATAATAAAGGTCATCATGTGCCACCAGAACTGCATCAATGCACCTTGGCATTGATTCTACAAGGCTCTGTCTGAACTCTACTGGTGGGACGAACACCGTTCATCCAAAAGATATTCCCTTAGTTGGTGTTTTGATGATGGTGGAGGAGACGCTGTCTAACACATTGGTCCCACATCTCCCATATGTGTTCAAATGGGTTGAAAGTTTGGTTGAAAGCTGGTGACTGTGAAGGCCATAGAGTATGATGCACATACATTTCATACATATCAAACCATTCAGTGAATCCCTCATGCCCTATGGATGGGGGCAATGTCATCTGGGAGGAGGCCGTTTTGTCACCCTTTTGTATATACAACTACATATTTGTTGCAAATTGGATATGCAAGGGCAGCTTTGCACATAAATAACTGACAACAAGTAATAAATGATTCTGTTAAAAAATGGAAGGAGGGAAAAGCGTGTGTCTTAAGTGTGTGTGGGGGGCAAGTGTGTAGGAGAAAAAGACAGGGAGGCTGTGTGAGTTATGTGCGTAATGTTGACAAAGTCCCAGAGTTCAACATTCTGATGACTTGCGGATAAAAGCTGTCTCCTGATATTTCAGTAACACAAAGTACTGAACAATACACAATAAAGCTAAATTTTGGGGGAGCTCCAAGAACAGCAGCCATCCTCTCCGGCACCATCTTGGCAGCACAAATGTGTCTATATGTGAAGCCAAAGCCTTTTTCAAGCCATATTCAGATGTGATCATTGCAAGAAACCCTGCATTTAAACTACTCTAGAAAGTAAGTAGACCAAATTCGACAAATTGAAACAAGAAGTCTGAAATCATTATTTCCTTCCATGTCCTCTTCAGGAATGTCAGCATGTGTTTTTATATACAACATATGGCATACAGTGTGTGGCTAATTATCTTTATCTTTTAACAACTCCACCTTAGATCAGGTTCAATTAATAAGATCAGGCCTCTATATTTAATACTTCACACAAAAACCGAGAAGTCACTGCTTGTATTTTGTTCCGCAGGAGCCTGGCTGGAATGGGAGGGGTCTGCCCTGATGCCCACATAAAAGAGCACAGTTCCCTTTTCACTACCACTTTTACCAGTGTTTGACCATGTCACATGTTTGCCAGGACAGTGACAACATCCTTGGAGGAGCTGGATGTTTATGATAAATGCCAACAAAAAAACATCTACTGTACAACTCCTGAACAGAAAGGTGCATTTTTTCTAAATGAGGTGAAGAAAAAGGTAGAAAGTAAATGTTTAAGACTCAGGTGAAAAGTGGCATGTTTGCACTTTTACAGTGTGATTCTTCACTCGGCTTAACCACACCGAATACTATAGTGGCAAATGTTCCTATAGAACCCAAATGCACTCACACTGTATATTCTCACTTCATGGCAGGATGACACGACTCAGTGGAACTTTCCTTTATTGTGTTTTCTCTCCTCCAGTGCATCGCACAAAGTAAAAGAACAGTCTTTGGGTTAAATTCCCCATAGTTTGTCTGCCATATCCATCAAACTGTGGAGCTGGTGTTACTATGACAGGCCTGCATTTACTGTATGAATCGCATTCTGTTATATCACTGGTCTCATACAACTACACCACAGTCAAATGGATGCAAACATCTGTAACTGATCATAATTTTACTTCCATTAAGTGCACATTAGCCAGAGCATCACAGACAGAAGAGAGTGGAGTAGTATAATGCATTATTTAGAAACAAACAAACAATCACACTATAAATGGATTTTTATATCAGTATCTGTTACCTGAATTAGCGGCTCAGTTCATAACCATTCACACAAAGTAGGCAGTGGCATGGTAGTGAAGTGGCTAGTACTGTCACCTCACAGCAAGCAGGTTCTGGGTTTGAACCTTGCAGCTGCCCATGACCTTACTGTGTGGAAACTGTATGTTCCCCGCGTGCTGACATGGATTTTGTTCTCTTGCTCAGGCTTCCTCCCGTAGTCCACTGACATGTATGTTAGGTTAACTGTGTGAATGGCTGTCTGTCTCTATGTGTCGGCCCTCTGGCATCCTGTTCAGGGAATACCACGCATCTCGCCCAGTGTTGGCTGAGATTGCCTCCAGACCCCGCCAAGATAAGTGGCATAGATAAAAGATGGATGAACAAAACAGGCAGAAATCATGTCTTGTGCATTTGTCTATTGCTGCACATTGTTGCTTGTGCAATTTTTTTCCTACCTTGAATGTATCATTCTAAAGGGAACACTATACACAGAACAATGACAGATACAAAATTAAGGCTTCTTTAGAGATTTGTTTGGCTCAGGGGTACTAAAATACACAAGCGCACTTGCTATTATTTATGTAAGCATGTCATCCTCCTGTCTAATGAGCCTTTCACCGAAAGCGTAATGAAACAGCTTGCATTAACACAGGCTAAATGAACAGCTGAGAGCTCCCATGTCTATGCAGCAAGATGAAAGCAGATGCTCTGAAACCCAAACACGGCATCACAGACCCGGTTCTACGGAGAAACAGAAGGGATTCGCAGTCAACATCATTCTCAACAGCTCATTGACTCCATTAGAAAATCTTGAATTCACCTGGTCAAACATCATTATGTGAGAACAACGCCTAACTGAGCCCTGACCAAGTGACCATGAATGAACCTTCAAATTGATTTTTTTCTCCCATAAACAGGGCAATGATAAACAGGTTAATAAACCTGGACTCAAAGTGAATTTGTGAATGTCAACCATCATACATGAAGGGTAGTGTAAATAGTCCACTCTGCTTGGAGAGCCAGCTACAAAGCATAGACATCAGGTATGTCAGTAAAGACAGCACTGGCTGTACGCAGCTGAATTAAGCAGGTGCTCTGGTAAGTGATGCTTCCATTGAACAGCAGGAGAAAATATTGACTGATCTTACAGGTTGTAAGATCAAAACAACTCTAAACTGCATTACTACTTTTCACTCACAGCAAATACTCATATATACAATAAATGATATCCAATGCATGATGCCATAAAAATGTCCTTCCCTAAAAAAAAGTTTCTTCTCTATTTACCTGTGAATGTGATTAATCGTGTGTGTGTGTGTGTAAGGGAAACTGAAATTCAGAAACTTAACAATAAGACCGTTTCTGCTAGTCATGTGCCACCTAGAAGTTATTACTTTGATTATCCTATACTCTTTCATTGTATTTTTAGTAGTGGGTATGGGATTCAACTTGAAGCACACAATCACTCTCTCACAACACCTAAAATCGAAATATGCCAAATAAAATGTAATTTATTTGTAATCAGATAGTAAAATGGTTAAAAAAACAAACTACACTACAAATGATTAGGCTCCAGTCTGTTAAAGGGCAATGCCAGTGTTTTTGTTTTGTTTTGTTTTGTTTGCTTGTTTGTTGTTTTTGTCAATATATATACTTGAAACATTCTTGCATTGACATCTGCAGATATTTTTGTATTTTTTAAAAATAGTTTTGTTATTTTGGCTGCAACTAAAAAGTTTGCACGAACTCGCAACTGTACATTTAATCTGACAGTCTTTAGGGCAGAAATGATTTATAATGTCACATAAGGGAATGTATCTCAAATAGGGTTCAAGTGTCTTCGAAGATGATTTCCAAACCTTAAATCCGTGCGATTTGTGGCCGAGCACGGATTTTATGTGCAACTGAAATGTGCCCTCACCTGTACCAGTCCAGCCCCTTCTCGTAGTTCCTGTCAAAGAAGTGTGGTTCATTCCCAACTGCTCTCACGTCCGGGTGCACCCTGAGAGCCTCCAGCAGGGCTCGGGTCCCCCCTTTCTTCACCCCGATGATGATGGCCTGGGGAAGTTTCTTCTCCCCATAATCCGAGGTGCTGTTCACCCTGAGTTCGCTGTCCGTGGTGCTGAATTCCTGGCGCTCCCTCTCCAGCGCCACGGTGTGATACGCCGCCGCCGATTTAGTTGGAGATGTCTGAGTCCTAATCCACTCCACTGTCCTTTGTTCGGCCTCAGCATGATCCTTTACGGTGGAAACGGCGGTGGTTTTCTCGGCCTCGGTGAATTCGGTAAAGCCCTGGGTGGCGGAATAAAGTTTCTCCCTCAATGTCACAAAAGTTGTCTCCTCCGTCACCAGCCTCCCTTGATACACGTAGTTCTCTTGCAGAGGAAACTGCAGCGAGTTGTAGCAGCTCATCAAGCTATAAAACAAGTAGGTGACAGAGAGGGAGAGGGTGAACATAAATAAGATTTTCCGGGGCACTTTAGAGGTGAAAACCGAAGTGCTGGACCAAAATGCCATCTCTGATAGCAGTGATCCTCTCAGAGAAGTGGCCAGACATGTTTCCACCCCGAGTCTTTCATGGACAAAATCAACAGCAATAATCAGTCACTATCAGCGCTGCTCCAGCTAGAAAGGCGTGAAGCTGGACCAAACCAACCTAATCCAACCAAATCGCATATTTATAAGGATACAAGGAGAATAGATCGTTAAAATTCCGGAAGAATATCGCGCCTCTTTTCTTGAGTATCGATTTCTTTTTCCAAGGCTGACAGACAATGTCACAATTTATTGGACTGAACTTGCAGATCGGAGAGGCTGGAGGTCTGGCGTCCTTCCAAATGAGCAACCTTTCTTGAACTGGTCAGAGTATGGTGGACGAAATCCTGGCATTTTACGAAGAGGGGAAAAGAAAACGAACACCACTGTTTAAAGTATCCTTCCTCTCATCAGTCCCACAGCCTGAAGTCCACTCCAGTCTGCGATACAAGAGTGGACTCACATCCATCCAAACAAGCTACAAATCCTTTCATTCTGTCCAGGAAGAGGCGAACGAACGCGCAATCTCTTACGCTTCTCTCTATTTACTTTGTGTGTAAAAACTCGGCAGCCTTTGAGAAAGAAACGCATCCACACTTCCCACTGCCTACCAGGATGCTGCTCGCCGTCCTTGCGCCTTCTCATATTGGTAGGATCCTACGATGTGCGTATTGGCTGGGTGAGCTCACCTAAACTGAAGCACTGTAGAGCCACAGCACAACTAGTGTGTACACCCACTTTTTCCTCTATCCGTGCATGGGCACTGCTTTAAACGCCAGATTTCCTACTCTGAGATAGTTATGTGAAAAGAAGCTACTCCTTATTCATATGACGGTTTATACATGCGAGAATCCCGGTGCTGGAGCATGTGAAGGCTTATTACATTGTGAATGTTTCACCCTGTAAAGAGTTCACTGTAAAACTCCATCTCAAAGAATATTTTGATAGAGATTACATTTTTACGTTCTACAGAAAGCTCATGTCTGCACCCTGCTGGTTTTTCTATGGAGCACTGCATAAGTTAATTTACAAAAATGACAGTAGTGCATATGAATCAAACTGGATAATGAGCAGATGAAAATGATAAATCATAGTGGTCATCTGTGCACAATTGTAAATGCAAGAGAGTACATGCAGAAAACAATCCCGTGCTCTCCATTATGCTGAGCATGGGGAGGCTGCTTATCATAGGTGTAGACTAAAATTACTGATGAGAATATTCACTAGACATTATATATTTATACAGTTGTTGCAATAATACAAGAATTTAAAATTGCACACCACTGTAATGTCTCCCTGTATTAGAGAACCTCATTCATCACACACCTTCATCACCCTAGCAGAGCTGGCGTCACACTAAATACTGGGTCAGAAATATTTAGCAATGCCGGGCTCTCAGAGGAGCCACTATTTTATTAAAAGTTCTGCATTTAAAATATGGATAAATGTTCTTTGTATACATTGCTTGACTACTTTTGTCTTTTCTAAGTGTCTGTAGCCAGCTCGGTATGCACACCAGGGGACAAGCCTAAGCCACTAAGGTACCAGACACTGATTTAAAATTCATTCAGACCATGTTTGTCTGTTTGTTTCTAAATATCACATTATAGTGAAGGACAACAATATTGCAAGATGGAACTCTTTTGCATTCCACCAGAGCATTTCCACCATATCAGAATATCTATGTCATCCTGTGAGAGAAAAATGTGCTTTCCAATTCCTGACTTTCTTAACATAAAGATTTTTGAGGCCAGTGGAAATGTGAATATAGAACCCAGCATGCTGCTTTTATGGCTTATAGACAATTGATGACTTTATTCAGGGTTACTCTTCCTTAATCACTAAATAAACAACTCATCTCAGTAATGTAATGAGTTACTGTATATCTTAAAAGGAGAGATGAAACTGTCTGATGAACATTAAGTATATCTTCTTTGGTGAAAACTTGAACACTGGTTGCATGTCTGCATTGACCATATTTTGTAAGAAAAAAATAAAATGTCAGTACAGTTATTTTTCCAGCTTTATGTCATTTAGATTTTGAGGTATTGGAAAACCAGACCTGCACATAAGCAATGCAGGTGATTGGGTGAGGGGGAGGAAAGTGTGGACAAGTGTTTGGAGCACCACAGTTACTGGGTGTTTCGCAGTCAAGAGCGTGTAGGAGGGCTCAATGGGTATGTCGAAGTTATTGTATTCATAAGTTGCCACTCGGCGAGGCAAAGGGTTTTCTAATATGAACTGACCCATTTGTAAATTCTCACTGTTATCAGACTTCCTATCTGTCTAGGAGTCATTCTGACAGAGTGTTCTGAGCATGCTCAGACACTTAGGCTGTGGAGCTGCTGCAGCAGAACGTTTCAGTGTCAACAACATGAGTGAAGTGGCACTAAGACGGCAGCTATTACGTAGTGCTCATGATAAATTATTATCAGAGCACGAAAAAATAGATTGATTTATCTTCCCTTTGTTGTTTCTGTTATTTGGGCTGTTCGTAAATCGCCCAGACATTGTGTGGCCCTGTAGAAACTGAGTGATCAGATTGTGTCTAACTGTATTTACAAAGACCAGTAACTAAGTTCATAGATGTTCATATACGTAAGTCCAGACAGCTGTTTTGTTAAGACAACAATCTACTGGTTGTGTCAAAAGGCAAATATCAAATCAATATTTTCTGCCTTACTTGCAGGCAACAGCTAAAAAAATCCCAAATGTCACTGTTTTTCAGTGCAACAAAATGATCCTCCTATTTTGGTGTTTCCTGTAACCATGTAGTCACAGTCTACCAGCACATATTCAGTGTTCATCAGGGTGAGGCTGAGCCACAGGCTGCCTAGTGGCCCTCTTTCCAGCTCGCATTAACATTCATCTCGTGCCTAGATTGTATTCAGATATGAATTATCCATATTACATTTACACCTGGAATTAAAAATGTGTCTCAGTTACCCACTGCAATCACGATTTTCAATCCTGACTCCTGCATAGTTATAAAACTGCTCATTTTAAAAAAAAATCAATATAATAGGTGTCCTGACTTAAAATTTAAACCAGACAACTGTACACCAGTTGTTGGTGATCAGTGCACCATCCTCTGCAGTGGTGCACTGGGGATGCAGACTGGACACCTTGGAGGCATTTAGCACAGACAAGGTCAAGGATTAAATTGCATCTTATACAAGTCTAGCCACTGCTGCTACTGAAATGTGTCCATGAAGGTCCTTTGGTCTGTTTCAGTAGCATGACGGTCTCTGTTTTTATACTAAAACCCAAAATACTGTTAAATAATTCTTGTCCAAACGTGACAGACACATGACACACGAAGCTTCTATGCTGTCAGTGAAAAATACATTTACACTGACACTTTCTCAATATAGTTATAGCTCAGGAGCTGCTGCACCACCTTGAGATTTGGGGCCTTCTAATATGAAATGACCTGAATCTGAACTCTGCAGCAATCTGAGTCTGTCTATTGGAGCTGAGATGAACAGCCGCTGTGTGGCGGTTTTGGCAGGTACAACTGCCTGGACTTTTACAGTGCTCAGTGTAATACAAGTCAGAGTACTGTGGTCAGGGCCACACCCTGTTGTTCCACTGGGGCTGACAGCAGAGATTGTTTATCAGGCTGCAATTAAACAGAAAATGACAGAACAGACACAAGTGACCATCCTCCTGTCAGTTACAATTGACTACAGAGGGACCACAAACAATGGCTGAATACCATGAAACAAACGAATTTCTTAGACTCCGAATGTAGTGAAATATATACACTTATTAATAGTAAATACATATTTGAACGAGCTGGTAACCTATTGCATAAATTTCAATATTGCAGACACAATGAGTCAAAATCAAGTGCCCTAGATAGCTTACAGTTTTATAAAGATTTTAAAAAATTGTAATTTGTAAAACTCTACACGGTATCATCCTGGCTCACGTTCAGTAGAGCCTATATTCTTGAATACATTTATTGAAGATAAAATTCATGAGGAAAAATGTCACTGAGTGATAACTGAAGGTGAATTTCTTTGAAGAATTTGTCCACAGGAAGATTAGAAAAACAAAGATTTCTTACATTTTGCCATAAGTAGAAAGGTTTTAAAGGCTGTTCAAGAAGTTTGAACATTTCAATGCATAACTTAACACTGTGAAGCACAGAAACTACTGAGAAAAGGGTTGGGGAGTAACTAGTTACCTTGTAATTAGTTACAGGCCGTGCATACATATCACCCTAAGGATTTGGGATGCATGAAATAAATTAAGAGATACAAAAATGTAACTGATTGATTTTCAGTCAAGTAAAATCTAGGAAGATGATTTCTATTTGATTCATCAGCAGGGCTTGGCTCACATAGATCATATCCAGGTGTACTAGTTGAATTCATACAGATGTCGGTAGAAGAAAACTGAAGCTGAAAATATTGTTACAGTTTCTGCTTTTGTAATAATAATAATAATAATAATAACCCACATGTGATGTGCTTTATAGTTAACAGAGGTTTGAATGTTTTGGACTGTAATTCTTATGTGTATTTTGTTGACAGAAAGAAATGAGGTCAAAGAAATTGAAGGCCAAACAGGGAGAAACTGGAGCTTTTAAAGTAATAATGTATAGCTCAGTGTTGGAGCAGCTGATTTAGTTAGCTACCAAGCTTGTTCCTGTGCAATGTACAATTTCACATGATTGTGATTAATAATAATTTTCATTTGCACTGATATAAATTAGTATATTAAGAAAAAGTGTGTGTGTCTGGTCTTCACTGGTCATTCTAAACAAACATTCATACAGTAATAAATCCTCTGGTGTTGTATTAAAAAAAACTATTCTGGACAGTTACACTTACATCTGTCCTCTTGTGATGCACAGCTTCAAAAACTCTTCTGAGTGGGCTGTTTCAAATCAGACATGTTACCTATCACTTGAGCCTGGAAAGCTGTTTTTGAATTGCTGTACGTGCTGGCGCCACTCACCAGGGTCAATTGTCAGAATGACAAACTGATGCTGGGACTGATGGTATTGATTTGTGTGCTCTAATATGACAGATCCTGTTGCAGATGATTGCAGATGTGTCCCAGTTCAGGAGTTACTTCCTTCAAAGTTTGAGGACCAAATACGTTGTAACAGGTCAGCAAGGAGTCTTGTCTGGTCTTAACATGAGTGTCACCACAATGCTCCACTAGTTTTGCCGAACCACCTTATTTGTAGAGCAAATGCGTGTTTAGGCTGACGTATGGGATGAAACTTGTACAGTATGTTTTATCATGTCACATCCTTCTGAAGGACATTATGTCATTATGATTCTTATAAAAGAAATACTGGCCTTATCTTAAAGAAAGTATTTTATGTTACCATGTCTACTCATCCATTCCCCGTTTCATTCCGGCTTTTACTGTCAGAACATTCTTCTCAGGTTATGGCAGCATGCACACTTTCCATAGATCTTATTTACAAAAGATTCATATTGTGATGAATGAGGCAATAATGTTTTCCAGGATAAAATTGCATCTTTACTTATGCAAAGAAATGGCTTGAGATAGACTTTGCCTTACTTTAAGTCCAGTTTTTGATTCCAGCAACATAAATGTAAAATTTAATGCTGTATGAAATAAAAACAGTATACATATAAAAGAAATCTTAGAATCGGATGGTGATAGAGTACTAATCATTACACACAGTATTGC